GTTGTTCTATAAATAAGTCTATTTCTAGCTAACACTTTCTGGTTTAGATATCGAATATTCTAAGTCTAATACATAGTATTATAACGATTTTTTGAAGAATCAAATAAAATAAAATGATGTTAGAACGTCATTTCCGATGTTATCAGGAAGTTTCTATTTTGGTGGGAAATCTTCAATTTTATGCTTCGGAAAACTTGCTTATTCATCTAAATAGCGTCAAATAACAAAAATAAGTGAAAATAACGATTTTTTAGCATTTGTTTACATTCTAGATTCTGATTGGTATAGTCGAATTTGAATCAATCTTTCCTGAAAAGACACTTATTCGTCAACCTAATGTCATTCAAACTTGAAAAAACTAACCAGAGTTCAAAAAGAAATGTACAAAAAGCTATAACAACCAATAATTTACAACAATATCTATTATCCATATCTATTATCTTTAAAGATAATGAGGTTAAAAATCTATCTAGAAAATCATATAACATTCAAATTGCAATGTGCTGATAGTGATAGACAATATTGTTTCATTAATAGCTTTTTTTTTTTTTTTAGATATATTTCCTGTTAACTTTGAAGGTGCTAAATTAATAGTTAATAAAGGATTAAGTAATCATTTTCAAATCAGTCATACGTTAAACATGAGCTCAATTACTCCATCAGGATATAGGTTTGGAGCGACATATGTTGGTTCTAAACAGTTTAGTCCTACTGAGGTAAAAAATTTTTTTTAATTCTAAATTTAGTTTAGTTTTTAAATTGAAATTGAAGTGATTTATTTGATTTTCATATTAATAAAAAAAAGAGTAAAAACAAAAATCTTTATCTTTAAAGAATCTTTCTTTATATACAAGGAGACCTTATGAGGTGTTCATCATGGATTCAAATAATATTGTATATGTGGATAAATCTCAATATGAACCTTTATTAAGCAAAGGGCAAAAGTGCATTTCTCAAGCATTTCCAAGAAAATTGTCATTAGAAATTGTCAATGACTTATAAGCAAAGTTTAATGACTTTCATTTATCAAATGTTTTGTAGCCTGGTGCTATCATTTTTTTTTTCATGTTTGCAAGGTTGAGGAATTGACTCTCAGTGATGGAATATATATATATAATTTCTCCTCTCTAAATAAGTGTGAAATTTTTACATAAACTAAATAATTAAAAATTACATGGGCTAATACATTTTGTCTATTTATCTACTAGTAAAAATATGTATTTTTCATTTTCAAATCTCTTGCCTTGTAAATGGATTGATGTATTTTAAAAATTCTGGAGGTCTATTTTTATAGACAAGTAAAAAAAATCTTACAACAAGTTGCATAACTTTCCTGGGTTTTACGAGATTTTATTTTTAAAATAGCATTTGTATAATTAAAGAAAATAACTAAAATTATATGTGGTTTCATTTGTTTTGAAATTTTGTTATAAAAACTTTATATATTTTTAATTATTGTAAAATAGCAAAAGACAATTTTGAGGGTAGAGATGAGTTTTATAAAACACTATAAATTCTAACAACGAGTAAAACCTTCATTAAGTCTGACCCCTTGTGAGATATGACATGTGACTACCCTCTATCTCTTCATCCCCTTGACCTTTCACAACCAAAATTTAATAGCATCAATGTCTCCTTATATACAAAGCTACCATATCAATTTTCTTTATCTCCATCTCATCCTGAGATATTAAGCAAAATAAATACACACACACACATCCACAGAATTTTTTGCCCTTTTTTTGGATTTAGGAGGTCTCAAAACATGGGGATTTGCAAAAAACTCTGAGGGTGAAATTTGACACAATTTCAATACTTTCCTTTGTTATGTATATATAACAGCCAGGAAAGTAAAAGAAAAATACTGTTTTTACTAGTAGATAGACAAAATGTATAAGCCTGTCATTAATTTAAATAATNCGAATGAGCGGGTCGGCGACCCCCCGAGTGTGGGCGAGCGCGCGTTAACGGAACTGTAGAGCATACTGATAGGAAGAAAAAAGTCAAAGGAACCGTGCCTCATGAAAATTTGTAAATAACGCCCACTAGGGGGCGTCCCGGGCTACTAGTATATATATAGTCAGCCAGTGACATTTTTACTTGGTGGGGAGTCACTGCCGTGACTACTGGATATCTAAGTTACTAATGAAAAATATGAAAATTGTTAATGAGTTCCTTACTAGTCAAATCGACATCATTTGATACAATAAAAATGCTGATTTATAAATTAATAAATGAGAAATTTTTAAGTCTTAAACAGGGACCCTAAGGGGTTAAAGAAAGTCGGATGACACTGATAAATATCATATCTGAACAAAATATAGATTTTAGATAAGGAAGATTAGTGGTGTTTATCCTTGAACTGATAGCTTTCTAACGATCTTGTATTTTCATCTTCATTTCTCAGTATGATTTTGATATTACACTCTTTTTTTATCTGTTTGATAGAGTTCGTCTCTAATCTGCCTCTGTCTTAACTTCATTCCAGTATTCTATATATTAAATCCCTGTGTCCTACTAAAAATAGATTATGATAGATATAAGAATTTACCAATTAAACTACACCTTATACGCTGGTTCAATCGAAACAAACATCTTCGATCTCTGAACGAGGTCGAAAACGTTTGTTTTGATTAAACCCCCGTCTGCCTCAGGTTAAAAACGTATTAGAATACAAATTAAAGAAAAGAACTGAGTTCTAATGGTAGTCCTTTTTAATAATGGTAGAACTACAACCGCTATTTTTAAATTTAAACGACTTAAGTATTTTAAAAGTTCTACAAACAAATAATTTACGTATTTTTAAAATAAAAACATTAAAATAAATAAATAATAAAATAATTACACATGTTATTAAAAAAAATTTTAAGTCTATCCTATGTCTTTTTCTTGCCTCATCGGGTTATCAACTACAGACTGCCATGCTTTGGATAACGTTTATTTCTCCTTGAAATTAATGTATTAACTCTTTCTAGATGCTTGGAATATATCAAAAGACTCCATTGATCGTAACTTGTTGACGTCAAACATCTTTTTTAATAATTTAGTCTGGTTCCAACTTGCTGACACCCCCGGCTCGCTCGCAAACTGGGCAAATGCTATGGATAGACTATTTGTACGAACATCGTATTTATGTCGGGTGGTAGGTATTTATGTCGGACCCCCGTCCCTCACCACCCGGTAGCCCCATTGTGGGCCTGGCCGAACCCATATGCCTTGCTAAAAGAGGACCTCTTAGTGCCTACAGGGTGGAAAGAATTTTAAAAATTAAAAAAGTACCATTTTAGTGAGCTGATGGACGGGTATCGACATATTCTATCGGATCATTCCCCGAAAATTTCCTGGAAATTTTTCGATCCGTCCGGATTCGATCCCGGGTCCCCAAAGCGGGAGGCTGCACCTTGATCACTTGACCACCCGGCCTTGTACCGCAGGTTAATAAAAAATAAAAAAAAAAGAGTTATACTTTATTGTCATAAAAGATTACAAACATGTTTATTTATTATATTTTAATATTTCTTTCTTATATATTCATATTTTTAAAGGTGTAATTTTATATCTTTATAAATATATCATGTTCGGCGCTTTTGTCGCAAGGGGAAGATGGCAGCCTCCAATCATTCCATTTCTTGTTTTGTATAACACGTGAGTGTCTGTGTATTTTACGATCGAAGTTATTATTGTAGAAATGGGTAATATTTTTGCGGCGAGTTCTCCGTCGAGTCCATTGACAGTCGGTTCAAGTGGAATACAACCGATTCCGTCTTTACATAAAGAGAAAAATGGGGATGACGATAATGGTTTATCAAATCCCGGCACGATGGAAGAATTACACCAAAAATGCAAAGGTAATACTACAGATTTCCTTGAGTGTTCTTAGTGATTTCATTATCTCAACTGATGATAAATAATATTTTAATAATATATAATATCTTGATTTAAAAATAATTTTATTTTATGAAACTATTAAGTATTTTATAAGTTTTGTTTCAAAGATTAAAGAAATTTAAATTTTATATAATTTAATGTTTAAAAAAAAAAGCAAACTGACTCGAATGTAATCTTTTATTAATTTGGTTTTGTAAATAAATGATATATACTTACTATATTCAACTTCAAAATGGTATATGCTGTAGTATGCAACATGGTTTATTTTATTATATATATATTTTTAAAATTGCTTCTTGTCTATTTTTTATTAACTGTATTAAATCTTAGATTTTTCAACTCAGACATCATATAGACCTGAGATGGAGAACAGTTGCCAGCAAAATTCATTTAACCGTCAGCCAAATTAATAGATTAATTAATTTGGCTGATGGTTGGATATTTATTAATATATTGGATTCTTGGGATGTTTATATAAAATTCCATCTATTTTTATTATTTTCCAATATGCATTTTGAGTCATTGTAAACTTCTCTTCAGTTAGAATATAATTTATTTGTACAAAAATTTTAAGATCTTATTTATCATTAGTTCCCACCTTAATTATCATACATTCAAAAGTTGAACTATACTAGGGGTCACCAAACTATGGCCTGCAAGGTCAGTTCATCCAGCCCGTTGCCACACTGTGCCACAAATTAGCTAAAATATAATTATTTATATGGAAATATCATAGATTATAGATAAACTTACTATGTAAAAAAATTAAAATAAATGTAAGTAAAAATGCCAAAATTGGTCTAATCTGAGTTTTGCATCTGACAGTATTATAATTTTTTAATCAGTGAAATAAAAAATTTGGCAACTTTTTGAGACTCAATATCAGAGCACTTTTTGTATAAGTACAGTACCTGCAATGAAGTTTCTAAAGAAAGCAATTACAAGCTTGCTGCAGCAATTGTGTTTGTGTATTGGTAAATAAATATGTTGGTTGTCTTTATTTTTTGTATTAAGTGTGCTGTATTGAACAAAATGGTTCTGCGGCCTGCATTCATTATTCTCACAGTTATCCGGCTCGCTGTGAAAAAGTTTGATGACCCTTGGACTAGGGTGGTGCTTAAAATAGGGAAAAAATAAAGCGCTTACTTTTTTGTGGTCCTACCCTCCAGAACTATTCCAACTGGTCTCAAATTACTACAGAAGAAATTTGAACTTGATATATTAATATTTAGAGGTAGCTCAATGGCCACAAAGTTTATAAAAAGAGCAATTTATGACAAATGAAAACATACAAGACCTATTTTGTAAGCCAGACTTGTTTCACTTTTTTGGACAATTACAGACAAATAGTCATGTAGACTCTACAATATTCAAAAACTTGTGGATTACAAACCAAAATGCAACGAAAAAATTTTTAAACATCACAATTCACAAAATTTGAAATTTTCAGTACTATGTTCAATGTAACTTTATCAGTTTATTTTGGTAGAGGCAAAGTGTGTCTCTTTCTTGCTGTCTGGTTAATGTCTCCAACTGCTCCCTCACTAGTTACTCTGTCTCCTTTACAGCTTACATCTTCTTCTTCAGTATCTGTGCTGTTGCTTGAGGATATTAGTTCTGCTATTTCTTCACCATTTCTCTTCAAGTTTTCCATTCTACGTTTTTTGTTAAGCATCTGTTCCTGTCTTTGTGCTGATTGTTTCTCCTTTGCAGCTACTGTAATTTTGCATCCACACTACCATTGACCCTTTAGGTCCTTTTTCACACTGAGCTAACAAGAACTCATGATCCTCTGGAATTTTTATCATTTTGACTGCTCTAAGATGAGAAATGTCAAAAAGTTCATCTAGTTTACTAACAAATTTAGCCTAATTTGTTTGCTGTGTTACAGATTGTCGCCCCTTGTTCTTCTTCAGCAAATGCCATTCTTCAAATGTTCATTCTAGTTTAGTTATGCAGTTTCTTGGATCCATCATTGGGATCCTTGCTATTTCATAAAATATTGCCAGCTTATCGACTGTAACATCAGATGAGCGTCTGATAGTTTGTTTCAGTTGAAGATGGTGATGTAAAAACAAACCAAGAGCCTGACATAAGGATGGCAAATTGTTGCCAGTTAATTCAGTTACTGTTGAACCAATGAGGTACACTTCAATTTTAGATCTAGTTGCTGTTGCCTTCTTATTTATTATTTAATAACTTTGCCAAAATGAACAAAAATGCATTATATGATTTGCTTGAGCAGTTTCTGGATTATGTAGATAATTTCTTTATATACAAAAGATACATTGATGATATTTTTAAATTGTGGAAAGAAAAACCAAATATAGAAAGTTTCATAGAACATATGAATAACAACCCATATGGACTTTCCATAAAATTAGACCAAGCCAGCAATTCAAGGGCACACTTTTTAGATCTCAATATTAGTGTTATAAACAGAGTTATCCATACAAATATTTATCATAAACCATCTCACCTTCCATTGTTTATACCAGCAAACTCATATGACCCATATATCTACAAAATAGCTGCCTTTTGTGTCTTAACCAAACATGCTTTTACTCACTGCACAAATTACGAGGACATGTTAAAAGAGCTTAAACATCTTGAGGACATAGCTAAATTGCATGGTTACAAAAACACCTTATTCATAAATTAGCAAATGTCTATTCTAACAGGGGTACTCCTATACCCAATAATCTTGTATCGTGAAATGGGAACGCTCACAACGCATGCCTCATAGTTCTAGATTATAACCACAATATGAAAAGCTTGTATAAAGAAATTGCCCATCACAGAGGTGATAGATTAGCATATAGGTGTGTTCCCACTGTCTATAACATGCTTAGAAACAGAAAGGACAACAACGACATGCTTAGGGTTCCTGGAATTTATAGGATTACATTGAGAGACAATAGATTCCAGCGTGATCTTGAGTACATTGGTGCCACCACACAATCTCTCAAAGTAAGGCTGGCTGAACACAAGTATGATATCAATAAAGGACAATACAAGACCCCCCCTAGCCAGGTATGTCGTGGATAACGACATCCAAGTCCATCTAGACCAGTGTTTCTCAACGGGGGCGATATCGCCCCCATGTGGGCGTTTTTCCATGTTGAGGGGGCGATTTGTAACAATTTATATTTTGAGGGGCGAAAAACAATTTTCTGGGCGATATAGTAAAACATTATATTAAGAATAATTAGATATTTTATTCGTTATATCGTACAATAATTAAACAAATAACATTATACTAGTTACTAGTCTATTCAATGCAGTACGAATTTGGCGTTAACCTCGTCCCTAGGCATCGGAATTTTGTAGTGAAGAGGGCGATACTACGTAACGGTTTTATTGAAGGGGGCGACAATTCGTTAGAGGTTGAGAAACACTGATCTAGACCAAGCTTTCATCATAAGACGATATATGCATGACGACCAAATAAGGACACTGGAAGCTCTCAAAATATTCAAATCCGTAAAGAGCAGCCATTGCATGGCAATCATTATACCTAAGGGAGCAGTCAAGTTAAAAATTATTTTGGAGAAATTTAAATTTGATTAAATCGATTTAGAATATTATTTTAAATTTTTAAGAGAATTAGTTGAAAAATTCTCATTTATACATTTTAAAATAAATTTTTTAAAACAAAGTATTCACTATTAAGTACTAGAATTTGTAACTGTCTCTTTCAAAACCTTTTATTTCTAGTAAAAATAATATTTACTTGCTTGAACAAACGTTTTCATATCTCTATCAAGAACTGCTTCAGGTTCAATAATGTTCTAATATTGGAATGCCCAGAGTTCAAATATTAACTGCCACTTAGTTAAACCGTTCAAATTATTTGATGCAAATTAATTTGGCTATTTATGTCCTACTCCATTTTATAGGTCCACCTTCTGCATATTAATATTTTATCCTGGAATTCTCTGAATAAGACAATATTGCTGAGAATACTTCTGATACATATATTGCCATGTGTATGATATATTGTTGTTTTGTTTATCAGGGGTGCACAACCTGCGGCCCGCGGGCCACATCAATGTTTATGCGGCCCGCGGATGGTACAGGCCAAATCCCTTCTTTTGAAGTTTCTAAGTGTAGAACTTTTCCCTTTCACAAAGTCATTAGCACCCAAATGTTTTATAACTTTCCCTGAAGTGAGAAATGGGGGGTTGTTCTATAAATAAGTCTATTTCTAGCTAACGCTTTCTGGTTTAGATATCGAATATTTTAAGTCTAATACATAGTATTATAACGATTTTTTGAAGAATCAAATAAAATAAAATGATGTTAGAACGTCATTTCCGATGTTATCAGGAAGTTTCTATTTTGGTGGGAAATCTTCAATTTTATGCTTCGGAAAACTTGCTTATTCATCTAAATAGCGTCAAATAACAAAAATAAGTGAAAATAACGATTTTTTAGCATTTGTTTACATTCTAGATTCTGATTGGTATAGTCGAATTTGAATCAATCTTTCCTGAAAAGACACTTATTCGTCAACCTAATGTCATTCAAACTTGAAAAAACTAACCAGAGTTCAAAAAGAAATGTACAAAAAGCTATAACAACCAATAATTTACAACAATATCTATTATCCATATCTATTATCTTTAAAGATAATGAGGTTAAAAATCTATCTAGAAAATCATATAACATTCAAATTGCAATGTGCTGATAGTGATAGACAATATTGTTTCATTAATAGCTTTTTTTTTTTTTAGATATATTTCCTGTTAACTTTGAAGGTGCTAAATTAATAGTTAATAAAGGATTAAGTAATCATTTTCAAATCAGTCATACGTTAAACATGAGCTCAATTACTCCATCAGGATATAGGTTTGGAGCGACATATGTTGGTTCTAAACAGTTTAGTCCTACTGAGGTAAAAAATTTTTTTAATTCTAAATTTAGTTTAGTTTTTAAATTGAAATTGAAGTGATTTATTTGATTTTCATATTAATAAAAAAAAGAGTAAAAACAAAAATCTTTATCTTTAAAGAATCTTTCTTTATATACAAGGAGACCTTATGAGGTGTTCATCATGGATTCAAATAATATTGTATATGTGGATAAATCTCAATATGAACCTTTATTAAGCAAAGGGCAAAAGTGCATTTCTCAAGCATTTCCAAGAAAATTGTCATTAGAAATTGTCAATGACTTATAAGCAAAGTTTAATGACTTTCATTTATCAAATGTTTTGTAGCCTGGTGCTATCATTTTTTTTTTCATGTTTGCAAGGTTGAGGAATTGACTCTCAGTGATGGAATATATATATATAATTTCTCCTCTCTAAATAAGTGTGAAATTTTTACATAAACTAAATAATTAAAAATTACATGGGCTAATACATTTTGTCTATTTATCTACTAGTAAAAATATGTATTTTTCATTTTCAAATCTCTTGCCTTGTAAATGGATTGATGTATTTTAAAAATTCTGGAGGTCTATTTTTATAGACAAGTAAAAAAAATCTTACAACAAGTTGCATAACTTTCCTGGGTTTTACGAGATTTTATTTTTAAAATAGCATTTGTATAATTAAAGAAAATAACTAAAATTATATGTGGTTTCATTTGTTTTGAAATTTTGTTATAAAAACTTTATATATTTTTAATTATTGTAAAATAGCAAAAGACAATTTTGAGGGTAGAGATGAGTTTTATAAAACACTATAAATTCTAACAACGAGTAAAACCTTCATTAAGTCTGACCCCTTGTGAGATATGACATGTGACTACCCTCTATCTCTTCATCCCCTTGACCTTTCACAACCAAAATTTAATAGCATCAATGTCTCCTTATATACAAAGCTACCATATCAATTTTCTTTATCTCCATCTCATCCTGAGATATTAAGCAAAATAAATACACACACACACATCCACAGAATTTTTTGCCCTTTTTTTGGATTTAGGAGGTCTCAAAACATGGGGATTTGCAAAAAACTCTGAGGGTGAAATTTGACACAATTTCAATACTTTCCTTTGTTATGTATATATAACAGCCAGGAAAGTAAAAGAAAAATACTGTTTTTACTAGTAGATAGACAAAATGTATAAGCCTGTCATTAATTTAAATAATTATTAAATAAATAAAAATTATTCTGCAAATTTAACAAAATGTAGAATGATTTTAATTATTTAATTTATGTAAAAATTTCAAGGTTTATGTTGAGACTTATCCACAGACACAATATTATTTGAATTCATGATGGACTCCTTGTAAGGTCTTCTTAGACTCATTCTTTATTATTCTGTTACAATTTTAAATGTGAAGTCCTTTTTTATTTTTTGAGTTTATCCTCTGTAAATATAATTATAAAAAATACTTTATAATTTTTTATTGTAATTTTTTAATATATAAATGCTATCTAGTGAGTTGTTCGGAAAGTAATTTCATTTTTTTACCACCAGAGGGATTAGTTGTATTTTTACCTGCCAATTTCATTCTAAATCATATTGTCATTACATATTTTGACAGCTGACATTTTGACATTTCAAGGCTTATTTGTAAAAAAATTTTGTTTGATTCTTTGCAATTTTTTTTCTGTTCCATTAAATATGAAAAATCAAAAGCAGCATTTTTGGCATATTTTGCTTTTTTATTACTGAAAAGGTAAGAGGTAAGAGTGATTTATTTGGTTTTCATAATAATTAATAAAAACAAAGAGTAAAAACAATAATCTTTATCTTTAAAGAATCATTCTTTATATACAAGGAGACCTTATGAGGTGTTCATCATGGATTCAAATAATATTGTGTATGTGGATAAATCTCATGCTCATCTTCAAGCAAGATAAAAATTAGGTGACCTGTATGGAGAGGATGTGTTGAAAGAACGACAATGCCAAAACTGGTTTGCAAAATTTCATTCCAGCAATTTTGATATTGAAGATGCACCACATTCTGGAAGGCCAGTTGAAACTGATGAAGACAAAATAAAGGTATTGATTGAACAAACTGCCAAATAACAACACGAGAAATCACTCAGAGATTAAATTTGTCGAATTCAACCGTTTACAATCACTTGAAATGACTTGGTTTCATTTCAAAGCTCAATATATGGGTTCCACTTGTTCTTAAAGAAAGAGATTTGCTCCATTACATTGACATCTGTGATTTGCTTCTCAAACATCAAGAAATGATCGATTTTTGAATTTTGAATTATTGCCAGTTATGATTTGCTTCAGCTCATAACTGGCAACGAAAAATAGATTGTTTATAACAATGTCAAATGCAAGCAATCACAGAGTAGAAGAGATGAGCCGGCTCAAAACACTTTGAAAGCTGATATTCATTTTTAAAAAAATGATGCTCTCTCTAGTGGGATTTTAAGCAAATTGTTTTTTTCAAGCTTTTACCAGACAACTCCACAATTGATTCAGAAGTGTACTGCCATCAACTGGACAAATTGAATGATACCATCAAACAGAAAAGGCCAGAATTGATCAACAGAAAAGGTGCAGTGTTTCACCATGATAATGTCAGACCTCACACAAGTTTGGTAACTCATCAGAAACTGTTACAACTTGGATGGGATGTGCTACCACATCCACCATATTTGCCAGATCTGATTCCCTCAGATTATTACTTGTTTCAGTCTTTACAAAATTTTTTAAACAGTAAAACATTTATTTCAAATGAGGATGTCAAAAATCACTTGGATCAGTTTTTTTGTAAGCAAAGATCAGAACTTTTATGAGTGTGGAATGATGCTACTACCAGAAAGATGGCAAAAGGTATTGGACCAAAATGGTCAATATATAATTCAATAAAATATTTATATATTATAAGAAAATAATTTTTTTTCATGAAAAAAAATTAAATTCCTTTCTGAACAACCCAATATATATATCATAAAATTTTTTATATATTATACATACAGTAAGACCTCTGAAAGTTGACCAGACCACCCAAGGGACTGAAAGAAATGGTCAACATATACAGTATAGGTGGTCAACATATGGAACAACTGTACTGATACATAGATGTGCTTTGTTTTATTGTACAGCTTTTATTAAAGAATGTTTTACAGAAACAAGCAAAGTAAAACATGGGAAAATCATTCCTAATTAATACTGAATCAAACAAAATCAATATATTTACATATGTATTGTTTTCTCATGATTTGGTCATTCTTTCTGATAAAAAAGTCAATTTTAATCTGTTTCTTATTCTTTATATAAAGGTAAGTGGAGAAAACACTTCCAATACTAGTGAGGTTGCAGCCAAACTTTTTAATGCATAAACATGTACGTTGGACGTTCAGTGCCGCTTTCCTGTAAGCCTAGAAGTTTGACAATGGTGTTTGGAATGTCGATGGAGTCATGCTCGACGTTCCAAATGCCATTGTCAAACTTCTAGACTTACTGAAAGGTGGTGCTGAATGTCCGACGTACACGTTTTTGCGTTGAAAACTTCGGCCGCAACCTTTCTACTGTCTACACCACTCAGCATACCTGGGAATTTTTTCATGGCAAATGACTTTAACTACATTATCAAATGACTGGCATTCTCTTCTTTTATATCTGCAATTTCTGTGTCCTCACTTCTGTTTCATCAGTTGCTTCTGGCACTTTTCTGCTGGCTTGTACTTTGGTGAATACTGATTGGAAAATGTCGTCATTCATTGCAACAAAATCTTCAAAATCTACTCCCTTGAATTCTGTCATGGGAAGTGGACTGTCTAGTGGGGCTGCAACACCTTGCTCTTGGGTTGTAACAAATCAAGCTTTCTTGAAGCACTTTTGAATTGTTCCAGGCTGAACTTTATTCAAAGTGAAACTAATCCAAAGTAGTAGCAGATGCAGCAGATGAATTTGTTTGTGCAGACAGACCATACATTTGCATTTTAGCAATGACCCACTGTAGAAGCTGGGCTTAATAGTTCATTTTGAATGTTTTGATTATGCTTGGTTGATAGGTTGAATTTTTGATATAATGTTTGGAGGCAAAATTTCAGTTTTACATATGTAAGATGATTCACTTGGGGACTGCTTAGACAATTGTCCACTACCAGGAGAATGGACCATTTCTTCTTTATTTCTTAGTCAATACCTCTTATTCACTTTTCAAATAGGGTACCAGTCATCCATGCAGATTTGTTAGCAGGTCTTTGTGCTGTAGGTTCTTGAATGAGCATGGTTTTATCGATTTACCAATCACCAAAGGTTTTAGCTTCTCCAGTTAAGCTAGTGCACAGCAGAACTGCGAAATGTTTTTTAGAAAATTTTCTGCTTTTACATTTGTCACTTTCATAATGATGCTCCTGTCAGGAAAAAGAGTCCACATTCTTCGGTTTTAAAGATGCCATCATTTTTGAAGCTACTGTCAAAGTCCAGAAACTTTTCAATGAACTCTTCAACAACTTCTATTGAAACTTCATAGATATACCAGACTACACTTTCTAGAAGAGCTTGTGTTGTAGTTTCAGTTTCTTGAGCCAACTATGTGGTGCCTGGAAATTGATATCTCAAGCTCCTTTGTGAACTTTTTAGCAATTTCTTGGATCATTAGGCAGAAATTTGGACATTAATGGCCCTTGTTTGAATCAGCATAATATTGCTTCATTGACTTCATCCAGCAAAGTTTTTTTTTTTATCATAAATCTTCACTTTTTTTTTTATTATATCTCTCCAAGTACTCATCCTTATGTTTTTGGATATTGCTTACTATCTTCTTGCTTACACCAAAATGTTCCACTGTCTTTCTTTCGCTGCTGTTTTCTAGAAAATGTAATAGATCAATCTTCTTCAATGTCAGCTCTTTCAGTTCTTTCTTTTTCACTACCATGACTTAATTAACAGCAAAATTTTCTAGTCAACTTGCATAGAGAAAAGACAAAAAAGTAAAGCCTGGTTCTTTCTCATACAACTGCTTG